ACAGGGGGTGGGCAGAGGGGAACCCCACCTGGCCGTGCACCCCTGAGCCTCAGTCTTCCCCGCACCCTTGGAGACGCAGAGATGAGACACGGTCTGTGTTGGTTTCTTTATTAATTCATAGTCTGATAGCTGGTGTACAGGGAAATGATCTATACATCAGGGGCTAAGACAGGGAGATCCAAAAGGCTTGTTTCCATAACAATTAAAAAAAGGAAATAAAAGTAATTTTTAAAACTTCTAAAAAGCTTCTAGTGTGCAGACTGCAGCATTCTCTAGGCTCATTTTCGGGTGCAGCCTCGCCCTACCAGCCCTACGAGCAATCTGAGCGCAAAGCAATGTCACTGCAGGTGCCTGGCACGGTTGCAGCACAGCACATTCCCTAAGGCATATACAAGGCCAAAGCACAGGACCCACACACAACTCTACAGTGATGCTACGGAGTCAGCTGTCACAGTGGGTCTAGGGAGGTTATTGTACACAGCAAGGGTGATGGATGGAGAGTCTGTGCCTATATGGCTCAACGTCGGCGTGGGGAAGGGGTTGCTTTGCTCTCCAAGGCTAAGCTGGGTCATTTGCTTCGCTGCAGCTAGGCTTCCTCCCGACTGCAGGGGAGCCAGGGGCTTTCCCGGCAGATGCACACCCGCTGTGAGACAGGGCTGCCCTGCCAGGGCCACCGGCCTGAAACTGGAGGTGGGCTTGTTCTGCACGTGGCCACAGAGAGCAAACTCAGGCCCTGCGAAAACAGGTCCACGGCCACCTCCAGGGGAAAGAGCAGGGGGTCCCCACACCACTGTGCTACAAAGACCAGGCCCCTGTGTTGGTTAGGTAAAAGACAGAGTCGGGGACATGGGACCTACTGCCACTGCCTGCATCTAGCCCTCCTGGGGCCAAGTATAGTAGCTGATTCAACCTACTGCACACCTCAGAGTTGCCTGGGCAGCTCTGCACATCACCGCTCTCTTGCTAGAGCAGCTGGCCCCGGGGCTGCCCTAGCTCCCAGGGTGACTGCTTGGTCCAGGCCGCTGCAGCCGAGCATTTCACCTGGCCAAAGTGCAGCCACCGGGGGAGCAGCCCCTCCATGCCTCTGGGGTTGGTCCTGGGAGGGTCAGCATCCACGGGGTCAATGGGTTATGCTCATTTGTGCCCTCGCAGGGAGGCCAGGGGACCCTGCAAAGCCCTTGCATGGGGTGCGTAGTACAGGACTGCTGGCTCCTGCCAGCTCCTGGCTCATCTCCTGAGCAGATATTGTGCTGAGTAGAGCTAGGCACAACCCCGTGTGTGGCACAAGCATCCCCTGCTCTGTCTCACTACCCATTGTCCCTGGGCCCCAAGCACCTCAGCGCAGGCCTACAGTTTCACCCCAGCTGGAGCCAACACAAACTGGGGCTTGCACCATGGACAGGCCCATGGGACCGTGCCTGTGGGCCCCTCTCTTCAGGCCAGGAAGGGACCGCGCTCAGCCGGAGGGGCACAGGGCAGGGGCAGTCTGCTGCCCTTTTACTCCTATAGCCTCCCAGCTCCGTTCACCAGAGCTGCTCACGTACTCCAAAGGTTTTGCCTGTCCTGCAGCCTGAAGAGGTATTTGGGAGCGGAGCTGTCAGTGCTTTGTACATACTGCTAAAGTGTCCCTAGGGGTTTGCATAGTATTTATTGGTTCATATACACAAGGCTGATTGCTGTACAGTTTACACTTTCAACACAAGCAACGAGCTCAGTGCTCAGCCCAGAGCCCTGCCCTGGCGGGAGACGTTGCACGTGCTGGGGAGAGGAAGGGCAGCCCTGCACCAGCCCCTCTGCCCAGGGCGGTTGTGCTCCCTGCAACCCTCCGCTCACACATTCTCTGGCAACTGCTGTCCTCCCCATACGTAACCCAACACTCACTGAGAGGGATGAGAAGCGAGTCCAGCAGAGGCAGCACAGGCGATGGCGGGGGTCGAGCCCCACTCCTTCCACGGTGAGCAGCGCCATGCTGCCCCAGTTTCCCTCTTGCAGCTGGAACACAGGCGTGGGGATGCATTTACACACGCAAACGCGCAAGGGTGGAGTCTCCTTCCCTCTCGTTTTCTGCCAGTCCAGCTCTCGCCTCCCAGAGGAGCTGAGGATGCCCCTGGTGCGTGCTGCTGTCTCTGGGCTCCTGGCAGCAGTGGGGCAGGGACGGAGGCCCCTCCGTCAGTTTTAAGTACTGTAGCTCATGCGTCTTGCAGTCAGTCAGTCATGCGGATAGGACGGTAAGTATGTCTCATACAGAAATCATGCCATTAGCCTATAGAAACATGTACAGCCAGCCCTGCTCCCCTCCACTCTCTGCTTTCCTTTCCTCTCTTCTCAGGTATGTGTCAGAACGTGTGTGGAGTTCAGTGGTTCGGTGTTGAGGTGAGATCCTGGAGAGACACAAGGAGAGACAGAGATGGGGTTACCAGGCATTCATGGAGGCACAGCCAGGAGAAAGGGTAGGGGCAGCCAGGTACGTGGCAGTCCCAGCCCCTTCTGCACCCAGTGCTTGTCCCACATACACCCAATCTGCCCACTACCACAAGACAAGTTTTGGGGGTGTCAGAGAGACAGCGACAGAGCACCAATAAGTGCCTTGTCTGGAACCAGCAGCAATGGCATAGATGACACTGGTGGTGCTGTCCCAGCTGCAGACAGCAGCAACGAGCAGGAACTGAGCTGCACCAAAGGCAATGTGGCACTGGGAAGGAGCTGGGAGGGCTGCTGTAGGCTCTGGGATAGATGAGGCCAGCCCTGAGCTTCCAGCCTCAACTACACCTCACTCTCACAGCAGTGAGCAAGACCCCATACTTCCTAATGCACACCCTGGGCCACTTTTGCATGCTACAGAAAACAGCAAGAGCAAAGCAGCAGGAGCGCTGCCCCAGAGAGAGGCAGACCCAGGGTCTGTCTGGGGAGTGGGGCAGGCAGTAGCTGTGGGGACATGGTCTGCATGAACACGTGTCCACAAGCACAAGCCTCTTTACTGTCATGCACCCACAGAGAACCCACTAACACAGTGGAGAGAGGAGGAAGAGGGAGGACAGACAAAGCCATGCACGTACAGCAGAGGTCAGAGGACCTGGCTCAGGCAGTGCCTGGCAGCATGCATGCAGCACCTTCCCCCAGGTGCTGTACTGCCAGTCCAGCAGCAAGCATGCAGAGAACAACGATGCAGCTGGGTTTGAGTGTACTGTGCCAAGCACCCTCCCTTACGCCTGGTCTAGTCCCACCCAACAGGGAAGGCAGGGGGAGCAGGGAATGCACAAGACTCAAGGGATGATCCAGTGCTCACACTGGGGATCAGTGGAAGAAATGCCCTTGGCCAAAGACAGGTCCCCTGCCCTCAACTCCTACAAGCATCATGTTCCTGCACCTCACCACTCCTGCATCCCTGCCACCCTGATGTGCACACGCAGCATCCTGCCATGGTCTGCATCCCCTTCCCTGGCCACAGGAGCTTCAGCAGACCTCACTGCCGCCCTCTCGTGCCACGATGCGTGGCTGGCAGTGGCAGGCCAAGTGCTGTGAGCAGAGGCAGCAGGTCACGGCCCAGCAGGACTGTGACACAGCCCTGCCGGTGCCCAGCTGCACCCCGGGGGAAGGGGAGGCAGGGGCACCAGGCTCCAAGGGCTGGTCTCGTCTGCCACAAGGCTGCACAGTTAACGCTCGTGGATGAAGGGGACAGCTCTGCTCAGACCCCACACAAATGCTATCCACTCCCTAGAGCAGGTTTGGACAAAGATCATCCCTCTGCTGCAGAGCCCAGCATAACCAGGAGTAACAACCCCATGGCCCTGTCACTGGGGACCATTTACCCAGCGTACCCAGGATGCTGTGACCACAGTAGCAGCCCCTGGTGCTGGGGCCGCAGTGGAGCGCTGAGCACAGAGACTGACCCAGCGCCAGCAGCTGGCTGGAGCATCGCTGCAGAGCAGGGCACCCCGTGCCCATTGCACCCAGGCCCCAGGCCCAGGAGCGGGTTAGCAGCAGGGACACGCCGCTGCCCACCCTCAGCATTTTGCTGCAGCACAGCACCCCCTCTCTGAAGGCCGAGAGCTGGGCACAGCCCTGTTACACTTTCCCCAGGAGGATGTGTATGACCGGCAGCTCAGTGCAGGCAGCAGCACGGGGAGCTGGGATAGAAGGAAGAGCAAAGGTGGGGTTACCTCAAAAGAGGCCATTTGAGGGGTCACTGCTTCCCCCTTTTCAGGCTGGCTCGTTTCACTATCTGAGCCCCCATCCTGCCCCCGGAGACCTCCGGTTTCGGGACACGCACTCGCACCTCCTCCTGAGGAAGCCGCGGGGCAGGAAGCAGAACATCACCCAGGTGAACAGACAGACATACAGAAGAGGACAGGAGAGGGAAAGGCAGAGTCAGTTGGCAGAAGACACCGAGCAAGAAGACTGATGCAGTGGGCAAGAGCTGCCCCTGGAAGCCTTTAGAGGGGAAACAGGAGAGGAGAGCAGGGCAGAAGAAAAGATAGAGGGTGGCAGAACCCCAGAGCCTGCAAGTCCCACAGAGGTGCTGCTGGCCTCGGGCAGGGTGCCTGCAAGGCAGGTCTATAAGCCACACTATACCTTGGCCCCCAGACCGTCCCGGTGCAGGATGGAGTATTTCATGAAGTGATCGTCCTCAGCCTCCAGGTCTTGGGGCTCCTGCAGGGAGCCCTCCAGAATCAGCTCCTCCTGCTCTTGCCTGTCATCCCTGTCACCAGGGCCCAGCTGACGCACCACCTTCCGGATGACCTGCGGAGACCCGCACAAGTCAGGCATCACACCCAGGCACCATGTCCCTCTCCTTGCCCAGTCTGGTCCTAAACCGCACGCAGTGTGCAGCCTCTGTCCCGTGCACTGGCTCTGGCCGGAGAAGTGCCATGACCGTAACTGAAGACGGCCAGACACGGGTGCCCTGCATGGGCCCCTGGGCTGCAGGGAGGAGCAGGGCAGCCAGGCAGAGGGGAAAGGCTGCGGCATGCCCTTGTCCACACCATGTCCTTGATCACTCACCTTCTTGGTGACAATATTGCCATGATCGTCTGTGAACTGCTCCTCAGTCACCTGCTCTCCAGGGAGATGAAGGACTTCGTTCCCCTGCAGTGACAAGAGGGACAGCAGGGCATTTCAGGGGGGTGAGGGGAGCCCCTTTGCAGGCAGAACAGTACACCCGACACGCATCCCACAGCTTCTGTCTCCCACCCTGCCTCGTCCCTTTACTGCTCTCCTCTGCATCTGCCCTGGGGCTGGTCTCTCAGCTCCCTGCTCATTACCTTCACAAAGACGCGCCGACGGACGACCCTGGTGGAGAGAGCCTCCTCGTCGTCCGCCAGCCCCTGACTCTCCCCGAGCTCCTTGTCCAGCTCGTGGTGGGCATGTTTGAGCAGGAAGCGGACAGACCCCCTGACGATGTGCATGACGTTCTGGCAGCTGACCAGGAAGAAGGCCAGCAGCACCAGGGCGATCAGCAACTGGGCCAGGAAAGCCCACATCCTGCCTCAGCACGCGTAGCTGCCCGCGGGCCCCGCAGGTCTGAGCCCGCTGCTCAGAGCCTGGCCATGCTATCCAGCTGGGACAGGCAAAGCCCCTGGGGCAGGAGCAGCCCTGCAAGTCTGCAGCCTGCCCGTCGTCGCGGTGCCCTGGCTCTGTGGGAGGACTGCTGTAACCCTAGCTGCCGCAGCTCAGCTGGCTGTGGGCGGTGAGAAGGGAGCAGGCAGGTGGGGCGTCCTTTGCGATCACAGCTTCTGTCAAAGTCATGGGGCCAGGACTGTGACAGCACCACCCATCCCCAGCCAGGCATTAAATGGGACAGCCCTGTCCCCCTTCACCGCCAGCTCTCCAACAACTTGTCTTCCTGGCTGTGGTGGGAGGCCAGCGTGCAGTCCTCCATCACGGGAAAAATGAAGCCCCGGGCAGGAGACAGGGTTTGGGGTATCACTGAAATCGCACGTGACTCAGGAGACACGCATTGCGGAGCTGAGCAACCACCTCCAAACGGGGCCATGCTGCCAGGATGGCTGTGCGTGCCCTGGCCAGCGCAAGGCACTTCCTCTCACCTTGTACCTGTCGGCTCTGTGTGGCCGTGGCAGGGTGACCATCACCCAGCCTGGCCCCCAGGCCAGTTCTATTTCTGGCTCCAGCAGGCTGTTGGGCCAGCAGCCAGGGCAGATACTCAATAAGGAAGCAGGCAGGGAGGCTGGCTGGGTTATAAATGGAGAGCAAGAGCTCAGCTATCAAGCACAGCAGGCTATTCTGGGCTGAGAGGCACCCCCAGGGGCAGGGGGCAGGAAGCGTGCCAGGAGACTTGCGCCTCTGCTAGCACCCAGTCTGCCCGGCTGGCCTCGTGGCAGGCTCAGGAAAGGGCTGGCCATAGGGTCTCCACTTCCTGCGGGGCCAGGTCCCCCTGGCTCTTACCCTCACCTGGCCAAAGAAGCGGCTGTCTGCCTCCTCCTGCCAGCTGCCCGTGGGGTGCTGGGGCTGCCAGTCGCTGTCCTCTGTGGAGCTGACCCGCATCAGCTCCACGGCCGGCACCAGGACCTGCTCTTGCTCCTGGTCCTGTGCCCCGGAGGCCGTGGTGTGCGTTGGGAGCAGCCTTCGGGTGACCCCCTCCTGCCAGGAGCCCTCTGTCAGGTCCTGTAGGCAGGAGATAAAGGAGCCTTCTGCATTCCAGTCCCTCAGCCTGGGCACCGGAGAGGGACAGGGACAGGGAGAGAGAGACAGAGAGAGAGAGGCAGTCAGCTTTGCCATGGAGTGTTGCACCGTGAGCAACAGCCTACCTCCAGCAGGCACACCAGCGCAGCCTGCACCCCCACCAGGCTCTGAGCTCCCCGGCTCATGGCGCTGCCGGGCGCCCAGCACAAGCAGCACAAAATGCAGATGCACAAAGGGCACAGGCCTGCTCCCTGCCCACCCCGTAGCCTCGCAGCCTGGCTGTGAGGGTCTAAGGCAATGCTGCAGAGCATTGCTGGGCTCTGCCAGAGACCTCACGGTACCAGTGCCACTGGGAAGGCGGGAGGATGCAGCCCAGGCTGAGATGGCTCTGGTAAGCACAACCTACATGCGGGGCCTGGCTGTCTGCCTGGGGTCCCTCCCAGGCGCTCTGCAAGGAGCCCCCCAGAGCATCTCCAGAGAGGTGCAAGGCACTCAGCCCAAGCCCCTGCTCTGTCTGCCGGGGATGCCTGGGCTCCAGAGCTGGAGACCAGCAGAGAAGCAAGCAAAGCTGGGAGATTATTGCAGCTGGCCCAGCACAGGGCAATAGCTGGTGAAGCAGTTCTTCTCCCCTCCCACAGCCACCCTGGCCCCCCAGGCTGCAGTACCTGTCTGCGCTCTTCTCTACGATGTGGCTAACGGTAGGTGATGCCGTGATCCTGGCTTGCACCTTCTGCTGAACTGAAACAAAAGACACTTCACTCTCCAGGTCCTGTTCCCCGGTCCCTGGCTGGCGATCACTGGCTGGCATCTTCCCCTCTGGCCTCTGCCCCTCCTCCTGCTCTAGAAGGTCAATCAGGCCATTCATGGCATCTGAGTCCACTGTGTCATCCTCAACCAGGTCCATAGAGCCCATGTGGTCTGGGCCATGTGCGTCTGCTAGAAGCTGCCCCGGGAATCGGCCTTCGCTTGTGGCATCCGAGTCCTCGGCCTTGCTGCACTCCAGAGAGGAGTCCTCAGCAGTCACCAGCGAGGGGGTGAGCCCCGAGGACCACACCTGCATGTCGGACATCTCCATCAGGGCATCGTGCTCGGTGGCAGCCATGGGGATAGCATCCATGATGGCCACCTCATTCCAGTACTGGTCGGCACGCAGCGGGGATGGCAGCATGTAATGCAGGGAGGCGGGGGACAGCAGCTCGTCCTGCAGCGAAGCGTAACCTATATGGGCAGACAGAGGCGACATCTCCAGCAGCCATCTCACGCACGCACAAGCACAGCATGGCAAGAAGGGAAATAGCCTCCGGAAGGGTGCCTGCCCCAAGGACAGCAATGGTCATGCCACAGACCCCTGTGGCTGGGCTGAGAAGAGCAGTGCTCAAAGCAGCTGCTGCCTTTGTATGGTCTCTGCAAGTGCTGCCATGCCTCCCTTTGAGTCCTGGGACTGGTTTGGGCAGGCCCTGGGGCCGCCCACGCCCCGCGGGGAGGACTGGCCTGGGGTCCACATGATGCCCCATCCACACTGCAGGACATGGTGCCCTCTTTGCTACCCTGCTCCATCGGCCCTCGGGTCCCTGCCCACAGCCCCCATCCAGCATCAGCTGGCTGACAGTCAGCCTGGAGTTCAGGTGGCCAAGTTTAGCAGGCACTGACTCCCAAAGTCAACCCCTCTCCGCAGCACAGAGGAGCAGGCTGGAAGTAGTACCATCAGCAGGGAAGGATGGCCCTGGTATATGTCATGCAACCCTGAGGCCCTGCGGGATGCAGCCAGGGCCCTACAACCTTGTTGGTGTCTCCAAGGCTACAAGCAGTTGTCATCTCCTCATCACTCAGGGCCACGTGCACAGTCCAGACACGAACTAACGAACTACAGCCAAGCAAGGCACTCCCACCCACGCAGGTGGCTTTGCTGAGCCTTTCTCAGGAGTGACCCACTAGCCCCTTTTCCACCCCCGGAGATCAGCAGAGAACCCATTCCGCTCCAGAACAGGCAGCCAGGGATTGCAAGCTGCAGCCGAGGCATGGGGGAACGCTGGGACCCCCCAGCACAGAAAGGGCACCTCTACCCTGTGCGAGCGCCTGGCCGGGGACAAGCAGCACAGGGCCAGCGAGGGAAGGAGCACAGGGCAGTGCAGGAGGAGGCCTGGGGTGACTGCTTGCAAGCATGACAGCCATGAGAGGGGCAATCCCTGGTGACATGCAGTCGCTGGAGCAGGATGTGGCTCCCGGAGGGCTCAGCTGAGGTGGAGACAGGCAGTGGAGACAGATGAGAGGAGAGGCCAGGATGAGCTCAGAGAAAAGAGGTGACAAGAAGTGACCCACAAGAGTGCCTGCACCTGACGGCGCTAGGTGGCATGTTTGAGAGAGCAGAACAAGGGGAGAGACAGAGAGGGAGAGAGCGATGAGCCAGAGCTGCACAGGCAGTGCCACAGTGCAGGCTGTAGCAGCGCACAGCCCTGTCCCTGCCCACTGCGCTGGCTCCCTGATGGCACACGCTGCTGCTGACCCCGGCTGTGTCCCTGCACCCAGGCGTGCTCCACCTGGGACCCAGCCCAGACGCGCTGCCACAGCCAGAGAGCCAGGACTCTGTGAGCTCCCTGGCCACCACTCAGATCACACAGCCAGAGACATCTCTCACTGGCATGTTGGGATAAGGAAGGTGTATCCACTCCACCTGGAGAGCTTCTGAGAAGGCAGTATGGCAGGGCCAAGTTTCCTGCGGCACAAGCCCCACTGAAGAAGCCGCGTCTGTTGGCAATGCCTTGTGCCCACCGAGCTCCCAGCGGGCCACCAGTGCACCCTGGTCAGGGAAGGCATCACCCCCGATCTGTCTGCATAGACTCTGCCCCCAGGGTCCTCCTGCAGTCCCTGCCAGAAGCCAGGACTCACCATTCATTTGGGATGGCGAGAGGGAGTAGTCTCTGTCCGTGTAGCGCCAGCTGCCCTTCAGGCTGCGGCTCTGCCGGCCAGAGCCCTCCAGCGTGTTGACAATCTCGCTGCGGTCGATGTTCCTCAGTGCTGTGTACAGATTCTCAACTGCAGGGGGAAACCAGTGTCAGCAAACTGGTCGCTGGGGGAACACAGCCATGCCCCAGACACCCTCCAGGTGGGCAGGTGTGCAAGAACCGGTGCTGTAAAGCCAGCCAGGGAGCCCTGAGCGTGCACACGCTGCTCTGCACAGCCAGCCCTGCCACCTCCATGCCTGTAGCAGGGCACGACAGATACTCACTCTTGACACTCTTGCCCTCACGGCTGACCCAGAGGTTGAGTAAGGCTATGCTCTGCTCCAGCAGGGAGTTGGGGTTCTCCACGCGTATCCTGTTGATGTCATCCACCCCAAACTGCAGCTCACGTGCCAGCTCTAAGAGAGACACCACATCTCAGCATCGCACCCTCTGGTGCCCACTGCCAGCTCCCGAAGGCTAGGGGTGTTGTCAAGGGCTCAGCCAGACCCAGCACAGAGTCTCCCACGTCACATACAGCTAAACATGGCAGAACATGCAGGAGCTGGGATGGGTCAGAGGTTGAAGCCCCTCTGCCCAGACTGCCTGTGACCAGCGTAGCAGTGTCTCACGCTAAGGAGAAGCATGGGTACTGCTTGTTGGGTGTGTGGTTGCGACGACAGTGGTGGGCCTCCACAAAGAGCAGCAGTACGCATGACTCAGAACAAAACCCTAGCCTGGCATGTGTGTGTGTGTGTGTGTGCATGTGAATGCATGCACAGCTGCAAGAAGGTTCATTTCGGTGCCGCGGTATGATCACAGTTCAGTAGAAGTGCTGGGAGGCAAGGCCAGCCTGCAAGAGGAGCTACTGCGGACTGCACGCATACCAACTGCATCAGGGCCCAGCTCCCTGGGCAGTGTAAAGCATATTCCCTCCACCCTGCAGCATGTTTCCAGCCTTCCTAAGTGTGAGCTTTCTGAGGAGTGTTGTGCATCCTTAGAGCTGTCAGGAGTGGACTCACCAGCCCAGCTGAGGCCCAGCTGTTCTGCTATGTCGACCATCTTCTGGTCTGCCTTGTCTGTGCTGCTCAGAGAGCCTGGAGGAGAAGAGACAGTCACAGCTTCAGCTGTGCAGGGCTCTGCACCAGGGTGGGGAGGGAAAAAGGGTGCTGGCTGTGGGGGTCTCGCAGCCCTGTAGGCACAGCACTGCCCTGCAGGCAGGACCAAGGAAACCCTCAGGGAAAAAGAAGCTGCCACGAGCCTGAGTACAACAGGGTCAGCCCAGCCTTTCCACTGGGCTCGGGTACCCCAGGCACAGGTGGGGACCGGGCTTGAACAGTCCCAGCAGGCTGCCTACCGAAACTGGTCTCACTTAGGATGCTGTACCGCTCCCGCAGAGACAACGGCGTCAGTGTCCTCCTCCGTTCCTCACTGCCACTTCCCTGTGAGATTGGGGACAAACCAAGGCATCACCAGCTTGAAAAGAGGGCAACAGCTCTGCCCTGGCACCACTGCTTCTCCCACAGCCCCAGGGCAGCATGGCCATGTGGAGCAGCTAAGGAAGAAAAGCCAACAGCTAGGGCTGCCTCCTGCATCTGGGGGAGGGATGGGTCTCCCCCTCCCAGAGATGCCAGAGACCTGGCACTGACCTTGGTGCAGGGTGGTATGCTGATGTTCAGGTGGCAGAGCACATGCTGGAGATCCTCGTACTTCATGGCCTTGCGCAAGAAAGACAGGGAGCCGCTGGCTTCCCGGCTGCTGTCCCGAACCTGAGCACCGATAGCCCAGTTAGGTGGCTTGGCACAGGGCAGGCACAGGCACCCCAGCTGCAGCCCAGCCCTGCACCCTGATATTACCTTGATGGGGATGGCGAGACGATTCTCCCGGAAGGACTGGAAGAGGAAGGTGCGGGGTTGAGTGGCCTTCTTGACAGGCACCAGGTTCCCTGAGAGCTCGACGTGCAAAGGCATCCCCTCCACCACCTGGCAGGGAGCAGAAAACAGGCTCAGATCCTGTGCAGAACTGCTTCCCCTGCACCTGGACAGGGCAGGTAGTCCCGACTCTCCTCCCCAGGCCAGGACTAGGCTCCTCCAGTGGCATCAGTCTCCCCTCACTTGGGCAGCCTTCTTCCTGCTGCCCCCCATGCGTGCTGCTGGGGACAAACCTCAATGTCCCTGCTGCGGGCCACCTCAGTGAAGTTTTCATGCTGCTCTAGAGTCTTGTCAACCTTGTCATCAGTCATGCAGTAGCAGCGCAGCCGGCCTTCCCGTGCATCATTCATCTTGGCAAACACCACGAATTTGGCCATGTAGGGCACGGCTGTCAGCTCCTTGTACAGCATTGTGGCGAAGTGCACGGCCTCGGCTGTGCGCGGGCAGTCGGCCAGCCAGAACCTGCGGGAGGGCTGGGTCGGGGCACTGCCGGGCAGGTTCCCCAGGAGAGCTGCGCCCTCACCCCCAACCCCCGCGTAGGTTGCCCCAAGAGCTCTGGGTACAGGAGCAGCCCCACGTGTGACAGGGACCCGCCCAAGCACAAAGAATGGCCCCTTCCTCTGCACCCCCAGTTGTTGTGTGTCCGGACATGTGCCAAGGCGGCGTGGGGGTCTCAAGGCTGGAGGCAACTGCCCTGCACAGGGGAATGGGGCAGCACCACAATGAGCACAGGGGCGGGAGGCTCCTCCTGGCACAGGCTGCACCCCAAGAGGTCCCGAGGAGCAGCAGATGTCCCCAGATGAGCACAGGTTTGCCCAGGACTCACCTGGCAGACACATTGGTGGTAAAGTTAGCACACTCGTTTTCATAGACCAGCTTCGTGGTGCCTGTTATGTCTTCCCACTGGGCTTGGGCTGTCCCTCCTGCAGCAGAAAGCAAGGGTGAGCATGCTGCCTTTCCATAAACCTGGGGTCTGCATCCCCCCAGGCAGTTGCTCTCTCCATTGCCATGACACGCTCTTAGCTCCCAGGAGCTGCATCCCACCGAGGGGGCCCAGCCCATCCCCACCAGAGAGCACGCTCGCCTGTGTGGCAGGGGCTGGCAGCCTCACCGATCCCACTGCCGAGCAGGCGCAGGCTGGGGGGGACCCCC